ACAAAGCATATGTTCGACCTTGTACATAGCATAACATACATGAGACTTTTTATGGCTGACATGTACATAATGTGCGCCATCTCATCTTTCTCAGTTGGTGTCTTGGGATACATGTCCTTAGTGAGAATAATGTTGGAAATATGCTTTAAAGCTAATCATGAAATAATAATTTACAAACATTTCACATATTAACTATTTCAGTTTAATCTAAGGGCAAATATTGTTGTTTAAAGTTGTCTCGTTAAATCTTATACACCTAAACAATAAGTCTAATGAATATATGTTATTAAGAAAATGTAACTAAACAAGTTAGATTCGCGGTACCTTTCTCTTTCATGCACATATCCTAAATGCTCCTGATATCGGATTGTTAATTAGGCATTGACAATCTGGATTATGAGTACATACTATATCTTCTCTCCCGTGAATGACTGATCTTGAGTCATTGGTGTGCATGACAATAAGACAAGTATATAGAAGCCTAATAGAGAATGGGTATACTGAACGCGATCAACTAGGACTTCTCATACTCATGTCATATGAGAACTCACTAGTTAAGATAATACAAAGTAGTCATTTGACCTGAAATATCATAGTTGACTTGAGGTTAGGTTCTTAATCTTTGATTGTGTTAAAGGCACTCCAATGTGTGAGGGTGTCAACGACATCTTTGGGGTTAAGCTACCTAGTCATGGATGCATTTGAATGTACAACTAGGGATCTTTAACCTTCAAAACAATGAGAGAGAATACTCTATGATATTGATAAAGAATATTTGGCTAGAAGACATAATTATGAAAGTATGCTCAAAATCACTTTCAAGGTAACATATAAACATGAGAATCACATTGGATAGTAGATGTTGGACCATAACTTTCTAGGCCTATGACACGTGGCACTAAGGGTGGCAAAAAAAACCAGAATACCAATAGCTCATGACTTTCGGACTATCAGACTAGTCAGGCTTCTTAGTCAGACTGGACTTAGACTTGGTTTTGGGAGGTTTCAGCTGAAGGTGGGGAGGGTTTGTTGGGTACACTTTTGCCGAAGCAAAGCATACCTTTCAGTGCACCTCTGCGAAGGTAAATCATTAATGTCAAGAGCATCCCTTGCCGAAGCAAGGTACCGTCATTTGGTAGATTCCAGCCGAAACTGGGTTTTCATTGTTTATTACCTCCCAGTCGAATCACTGGGATACTTTTCTCTCACAGTTATGGTAGCAATCAGAACCGAGAATTTGGAAACTTTCCCTCTCTACACTCCTACTTTATGAGCAATTTAGAGACATGTAAGGACAAGAAAAAAAAATTTCTCTAGTTAAAGTTCAATCAGATTCCATAAACTTCATAATTGTACCTATTCATGGAGATAAAGGTTTCAATCATGTCTTGCTTCGGGCATGAGATCATCTTTTATGATTGGAATGGTCCGTATAAGTGAGTCAAAGAGCCATGGAATCCTCGTCAGTAAGGTACTTCTATTTGTAATACTTCAGGCATAAGTCTTCAAATGAAGATAATGACGGATGCTTATTCAGCTCTTTTACACCAGAGTTGGCTACAATGATTTGACAGCTCTTCTAGTCAAGCGAAGTGTCACATTTTGTTCGAAACGTCCAAATCAGGGAAATCAAACTTATTACGATTCAACATTTTGCTGAATGGAGGGGACAAGATTGTGATTGGTGCTTTGGTATCTCCATAAGCATCCAAGCTAGAACATTCGAGTTCTTAAGACATGGTTTGGTTTAAACGAATTAATCATGGATAACTTAATTTCTCTACATGAGTAGTGCGTGTTAAGAAACTTCAAGTTCTATGGCACTTTTCCGAAAACTTCGAATTCGGAATTATGAACTGTAGGTTCATCATACCTGCAAACAAACGCAATATATACTGAAAAATATGCAACAAATAAATGCATGTAGGTATTCAAGGCCTACAACAATAATTCCATGAATTCATAATATTTTGTTATTAAGCTTCGGACCAATAAGAAATGATGGGTTAAAGTAATAACATATACTTGTGCCTAAAAATCAGGCCTTGGAAGTTTAGTTGTCCCAAAAATTGAACCAAAAGCCCATGTGGGCTGGAAAAACAAAAAACTGTGAAGCTGAGGCCTAAAGATTAGGCTGGGATTAGGTACAGGTCAAGCTGGGCTGCAGGTGGCAGGCCCAACGAAGTGGCCAGGATACTGAAACCCACGTGGAGGGCGATCATATGCTTTGCGGTGCATAGACCCAAAGCCTTTGCAGGTTGGTATCACAGGGCGAAATGAAAGACAACAAAAGCAATTGCAGGTGGGTCCAAAGAGAATTTTTTTTTCTTTCAATTTGCTGAGGCCCGAGGTGAAGCCATGCCCAATAGGGTGTCGGGTTTAACCATAACACCCAACCGCGTGCTGGGTAGGGATGGAAAAAATACCCATGGGTTTGGGTAACCGCGGTTACCCGTCCATTTAAAGTTCACGGTTACAGTTATGGGTAACTGTTTAGATGAACAAACGGTTATGGGTATAACCGTTTATCCATGAAATTTGAATGGGCGGTTATGGGTATTACCCGCAGTTATAACTGGTATCTATTTACCCATTTAATTTATATATATATATTGTACACTTAGAAAGAACATAGAAGATATTGTGTACCACTGCGATGCGACGTTAGAGAGGAGAAGGACTAAGGATTGCTTTTGTTTGCCTTTTTTTTTTCTTTTCCTGATAACTGAGTGTACAATGTAAACCTTTTGTGATCACTTAGCTCTGTTGGATTCATGCTAATTGGTGTCGGTGTTCCTAAATGGGATACTAATTCAATTTATAAATTTCTTTTGTAGGCCTCTTTTGGTGACAATGAGTCGATGAGACTTTGTGATTGAACGTGCTAAAGCATTTGTGTTCAAAAGTGTTTAGTTTTGGAATATTTTGGAGCTTTGAATCATCTAGTATTCAAGATAATGACTACTTTTTGTTTTTAGAAGCTTTACTTTGTAGTCATATGGATTATAATTAAAGACTTGCATGGATGTAGCAAAAAAATATCGCTCGTAAACTATTATTTCAATTATTAGAATTGTATGAGGACTTAAATGATTAAAATAGGGAAATGTATGCTAAAATGTACCTATAACGGTGTTTAATTGTCAGAAAACAAAAATTATGACAAATATTTCTTTTGTAATTTTCAAGTTGTTAAAAAAACATGTAGACAGGTGAAAATGGGTTAATGAGTAAATAAAGGATAAAGGAGTTCAAAAATGGGTAAATGGTTATGGTTAAATGGGTAAACGATTATGGTTAAATGGGTACACGGTTATGGGTATGGTTCACCATTTATATACAGGTATGAGTATGAGTATAACTGTTTATACAATTACCCAACGGGTAAACGGTTATGCTGGTATGAACATAAATGGTTATGGGTAAATAACCGCGGTTACCCGCCCTCCATAACCGTTGCTCATCCCTAGTGTTAGGTGAGTTCACTAGAGAAGAAGACTGGTGTTGTCGTTGTAGGTGACTGTGTTCCAAGTCATGGACCTCGATTCAACGGAGAACCTCATTTGTGTGGCCGAGAGGGGTATCTTGACGTCCACGATCCAAAAACCCATGGATTTGAAATCAGGATTTCTAAATCCGGTGATGTTCGAAGGAATCTCAGCCAAGGGTTCATTAGGGATAACTTCAGGTCATCGGGGATGACGGTTATGGTGGTGGTCCTCGCTGCATGCGAGGGTTGGGGGTGACAACGCCAAAACGGCGTCGTGGGTTTCTGGGTTCCAAGGGAGCTACTGTGCTCCGGCTTGATTCGCAGCTCTCGCGGCTCTAGTGGCTCAAGTTGTTAGTGGCTGGCAGCTTAAAGCCGCAGCTTGCCTAGGTTTATAACCTTTTTTTTTTTTCAATTCAATTCACATAATTGCAAAATTATGAATAATACATAAACAATTTATGTAAAATCTAAAATTCATGAAACTTAAAGTTGGGTTATGCATTATGGTGAAAGTTCGTGCAAACAAGGCTGAAAAAAAAATCAAGATAAACACCGTTGTTTTGTAAGAACATGGATTGCGGGATGATATTTATGAACTGGTTTGTAAGGGTTCCTCCTCAGGATTTCGGCTTTTCATTTTCAAGGCTTGTATCACGTTCAACACAAGAAAAGTAAATTGAATCAATAATAGTATATGAATTCAATAAAATCAAAATTTAATCAACTAAGAAGAATTGAAACGTAATAATCTTTTGATTGAAGATGGATAAATTCTCTTTAGCAGCATCAAGAGCGTGCTGATAACGGGTTGTATCCTATATTTAATTGAGGGAAATGGAGGGGTGCACGACATAGAGAAGAGGATGGAGAAAAGGGCTTGATGAATTTTGTGTATTATTCCCTAGGCCTTGTGCCTTTCTTTATAGTAATAAGGAGGAGAGAAACTTGCTTTGCAAGTAATACAAAGTTTAATAGAAAAGCTCTTCTAGATCCCCAAGGTTCCTAATTTGTCTCTACATATGATTTACACAATTACACATGTATTAGAATGTATATCATAACAAGTATATAATTTTTGTTTTGGAAAAGTATAAAATATTAACAGAATAATCTGTTTTGGAGTTTCAATTAAAGTGTAAGATTGGACTGTGAAACTTTTAGAGTTTGAATGGTATGAAGTTATGTCATTTTAAAATCACATCTTAGAGTTTGAAGTTAGAATTGAAGATACTCTTAGTTATGTAGTCTTCAGTCATAGAATTAGCCTTGTAAAAATTAATATTTTAAAGGTGATTTAGGGATGAATTTTTTCATCTCCAACCATGCAGGTTTATATTTTATTCATTTTCATATTTTATTGCTTTTTGTGACAAAAATTAGCTTGCCTTCGGCCTACATACATGTTGCTTGCACAAGAACTCGACCCTTAGCACTTGTAAAATTTGGGCAAAAAATTAATAGAAATGAAAAAGAAGAAAACGGGTCAAATGCCACACGTCACATAGCGCAGATGGCAGTGCTTTCATTTGCGATTGTAAATTATGCTTAACATCCAAGTCTGCACGATTACACCTTCCAACCGACGCTACACATCATCATCTCCCTCGGAATCATCGTCGCCCTTCACCTCCTGCGCCTCCCACACCCGCTCACTTTCACTTCCCTCTCTCCCGAATTCTCAGCGGCAAAATGGCCGAAGATCAAGAATCGACGTCGATTCCTCTGAGTCAAGCGGAGAATGGTGGTCCGGATCCCGAAGATCCAGCCAAGTCTCCCCCTCCCTCCCCCAATTCCTCTACTCGTAAGGTCTGATTCAATCTCCGCCCTCCATTCTTTTCTCTTCCAAATCTACGGATCTAATGCTTGACATTGTATTCCAAGTTACTCTAATTTCCAGATTGTTTTACTATGTTCCATTTGTAGTTAAATTAATTAAGCAATAAGCATTCCATGTATCGAAATATGGCGAAAATAGTCGAACTGAAATGGGATGGCAGCCGTTGATTTTTGGATAGTTTTAATATAGATTTGATTATTTAAGTGAAGGGTGATATCTTCACATGAGCATTCCTTGTCTACAAAAAAATATCAATTTCAATAGTACAATTAACCAATTTACACTGAAACCTCTTATTTTCTTACAAGTATAAGAAACTAGTTGAAATACTACTTTTAGGGCATGTTTGATACATAGGATTGGCTTGGCTTGGGTTAGGTTGCTTCTGTTTAGGCCCCTCGTTGTAATCCCGGCTTATCTGGTTGTTAATTAACCCCATGTTCCCATGTTGGTAGGCTGAAATGGGTGTTAAATAGCCCAATCCAGTCCCTGTCCAGAATCAAATGCCTGCTTAAAGTCCAATTAAGCTGTACACACCAAGGTTCAAATTTAATTCCCTCATTTCAAATCCTTCCCTCCATTTGGACCGTTAATGTTGTTATAATTAGGATGTTTAGTTCATAAACAAACCAAATGCTCCCGGCTTAAGGAACCTATTCTAGTTGCAATTTGGGATTTTCAACAGCGGGCCGCAGCTTCGTCCCGTCCATTGTCCACCTAGACAATAGTTTCGCAATTTGCGATTTTTGTAATTTAAATGTAAGAATCAAAGTGATATCTTGTTCAACATGTAATGTTTGTGTCCAATGATTTTCAGGCTTGCTGCTTTGTTCTCCAAAGTTGGGTCTCAAAGAAGTTTATGACTGGATGGTAAGAATTTTACCTGCTCTTAGGTGCAATTCTCAATCATTTTCTCATGATTTCTTAAGCCTAGTGGTGTCTTGAATTGCTTGCAGTGTGGTGCTTTTTCCTGTTGCTGTTACATTCTTTGTTACATGGTGGTTTATTCAGTTTGTTGATGGTTTCTTTAGTCCACTCTATGCTCAGCTTGGCATCAACATCTTCGGTATGTTCTTAATGAATTACTAGTTTCCTTTGTTGAAAGCCTCCTTTTATAAAATGAGGAAAACGTGAGGATTATGGTTGGGACCTATGTGTATTGTGGACCCTGCCTCTATTAGGGAGATGCGGTTTAAATGTGGTTTACGAAATGTGGTCTCCCTAGCATCACCTTAATTAATATTGTAACATAGAGAGACTCAAACACAATGATTTTCAGGCTAAATTGCATTCACGACATAAAAAGGTAGAAATACTAATTTATTGAATTTTAACTTGACTCCTCCATAAGAAAAAAATAAAATAAAATAAAAAACTCTGAAAGCAATGCAGAATTGGTGCATTTGCTTTAACTGAGAACTTGGATGTTCCTTTTTAAGGTGGCAAAGTTGGCAGAAGATAATACAGCAGGTTTTAGAAAGTGTAAAGGTGATTACTTAGACTCAATATTTGCTTGTCTATTGCCATAGGAACTTTTAATATTTGATCAAGCCCATTGTTCAAATCTCATGCATGGCAAACAGCATTCAGTTAATTGTGGAGCTTCAGTGTTGTAGGAACAATTGCGGTTGTATAAAACTGAAGGTTTTAATTTGTAAAGCCAAATTAGTTTTAATACAGATTTCATAGTTTATTCGTTTCCTTTTATTATTTTTCCCTGTTTCTAGTAAGGATTACTTTCCTATTCTTTGAAAGATTAGGTATTAAAAATAAGAGCATGTTCTTTGTAATTTAATATAGCCACACTTGATTCATGAATGAAATTATCTCTATATTCTAAACCCTGATCTCCCCTTCTGTACTAGATTTTTCTTCGGTCTATCTATTTGTTCTCTGACTTCTTGTTCTGAATTCCTATATTTTCTGATAATCGGACCTGGTACCTCTTGTTTTCTAAGATCTCTTTCTGATTTCTAAATTCGGATTACTTGTTCTAACTCACCTTGGTAGTTCGCACTGACTTTTCATCTAGCGGGGAAGGATAGGGGTTTCTTGGGCTTGTCACTTGACAATGACTGGGATATATGACTTGTTATGGGGGTTGACTGGGATATATGACTTGTTATGGGGGTTCTTTTTATGTGTCACATTATAATCTTACAACTGAACTTTTGAAAACGGTTGGTTTTTTCAATGCAGAAGTCTGCTGCATCTTTTATTGAAATATGCTTGAATCTCAAAGTTTTTTTAATTTTTTTATTATATATATTCACTAAATGTGTAGTCTCTATATTTTGACTTCAGTTCATATTCGGCTTTAATGCGTCTCTCAAAGCGCTTGTTTTTTTTGCAGGACTTGGATTTGTCACATCCTTATTGTTTGTATTCTTTGTTGGCGTCTTTGTTTCATCATGGATGGGTGCCACTGTTTTCTCAGTCGGAGAATGGATCATAAAGAGAATGCCTTTTGTTAAGCATATTTACTCCGCCTCCAAACAAATTAGTGCTGCAGTTTCTCCAGGTAACAGTTATTATCTGTAAAAGCTAGGGGACTGCATATATTATATACTGTTGTGTGAAGGGATATATGAACAAGAACTTGTACAAACAACATCCTAGCTTATATATTGTTGTATGAAGTTCTATTTAGCAGGGCTGTAATTACACTGAAATCCCAGTACCAGCTTACCAATTGAAAAGAGGATTATATATTAAAATTTAAAAAGAATCAATCCCAGCTTGTCGTAATATGGGAATTTTTCCATCTTTCACGAAGGAGACGAACAACAACAACAACAACAAAGCCTTTTCCCACTAAGTGGGGTCGGCTAACGAAGGAGACGAACGAATACAAAATTTTCATGTTCAATTTTAAATAAAAAACATTAAATGTTCTAACTATTAATATGAATCCAGAAATAGACCGGTTTTATTGCACCCTTCAACTTCAATAGAAAATGCAATGTCTCCTGGTGGTGATAACGTATTCCTGCAGAAGATTCTGAAGTGAATTGAGGAGTGTCTAAACTATATAAAGCAAGGCCTTAGAAATCATGTACCAGTGTTTACGAGATATTGGAAATCCGGAATATTTGCATCCTCCGCTGAAATGTTTTCCTTTATTTAGATTTGTAACAAGCTGTTATTGACTTCCATTAATCAAACACACAAAAATTTGGGTTACATATTATTACTTATTTCTTCTCCAAGGCTTCAAGGACTCTTAACTGTCTGGGTTTTCTGATTTTTCTTTCATATTAAGTATGAAATTTCCTGACTATATCAATGACATTGTCTTCCTTTGAATGATTTTTGGTCTGCCAAATTCTGGTAATTCTCTCACCGATGAGCATCTACTTTGGTAGCATTTATTTGGTATTCATATGAACTGAGCTTGGCGATTGGGGGTTGTGCTAGGTTGATCTCTTGTTCTCTTATATGTTAACATATTCAACTTAGCTACGGAAAGAACTAGCAGAAAAGTTTAAGCAAAAAAGAAAACAAAAGGATATATTAAATATCATTGTAAACTAACATTTTCGGATTGTCCATATTTTGCCAATTTTTTTTTTGCCATCTTATGGATATTAGATACTCTTTTAGTCGTCCTTAAAAGATAAAATAAAGTAAAATACACATGTATTCGTTTAGATACATTGTAAATTTCTTTAAAATCAGTGCTAGCTCTTGACGGCTGTCGAGGGATGAAAAAAAATTATACTATTCAAACAATGTAATTGTGTAATTATACTTCAAATTGGTATTTCAGGCTTAGAGCTCCATTTTTCTTGCAGACCAAAATACTACAGCTTTTAAAGAGGTGGCAATTATCCGTCACCCACGTGTTGGTGAATATGCTTTTGGATTTATTACATCAACAGTCACCCTTCAGGTTCTCTTTCTTATGCTTTTATGTATTTATTTTACGTTAGTTGTGATGCTTGATGCCCGTGTAGTTGATATTGTGTATGCATAGCTTATTCCAGGAAAATAATTTTCTTGCAGATTTCTTTATTACTCATTCTTGAGTCCATCTAAGCGAAGTGTTGTGTTTTCCCTTTCCCCCATGAACTTTGGTAGAAAAGGCCACATCCATTACTTAAGTGTGTTGTTGGATTAGGTTTTTGGCATATAAGAATAAGACACAAAGCTTGAACATTTATAATTGTTTAATTCAATTGTGACGAAGACCAGAATAAATTGTATCTCTCTTTGATACCAACCAATTAAATGATCAGTGAGAGAGCATGGGTTGGACATGGCATTTGTGATTCAGCGGAAATTGAAATTCATTGTTTACAACCTTTAGTATCCATTGTCCTGTATGCCTTGGTTCCTGTTTCTTTGATTTTCCTTGGATCCTTGAAAGATTGCTGGATTTCGTCCCTAGATAATGGTGATGCAGAAAGAAAACTCATATTTTGTGTAGACACATGCATAGAAGTTCGATTTGTTTGATTTAGTTTTCAGATATTAGGAATTTGTGATTGCAAATTGCGGATCATTTGTTTGTTTTATTTCTATGAACATGGGGTTTTAATTCTTAGGGTTTGACTCTTTTAGTTCAGTACTAATGACTATTATTATTTGATTATTTAATTATTATGGGATTGCCTCTATAGTCTATAGTTATAGAATTTCAGACAATTTACATACAGATTGACGATAATGATATATGGATCTAGTTTTTCTTTTTCACATCTCTTCTGTTTTCTTTCTCAGAGAAAATTGGAGCAGTAGTCCATGAATTATGACCGAATTGTAGTTTTGATCCTTGAATTACAATTGGCATCTGAATTTGAAATATTGTGGAGCACTAAGCCTCGATGCCAATTGTAATGGATTATTAATTCAGGGACAAAAGCTACAATTCAGTCACAGTTCAGGGACCATTGCTCCAATTTACTCTTCTCCTTATTTTTATATCAAATTGACATCAAAGAAAATGGTGCCCAACATCATCCTAGAAGAATCCTCTTGCCTTGTTCCCAACATAAAAAGTCAGCTTTAGGTGGCCTTTCTGACACCAGCCACTTAGTGCAGTATCTTTGAGTTTGATTCGTCAAACTAACACTAATCTTTTGTTCACCTGTTGGTTTTTACTGCAGAAAGATAATGAAGATGAAGAGTTGTGTAGTGTGTTTGTCCCAACAAATCATCTATACATAGGCGATATATTTCTTGTTAACTCCACAGAGATCATAAGACCGAATTTGTCTATCCGAGAAGGCATAGGTATGTTTTTTTCTTTTGTTCCCTACGTCAGGCCAAAGAAGGGCCTTACATAGAGGCAGGGATGGCAATTCTTGTTCTTGGGTCCCTTGTCGTGTCATTTAGTGCTCACACCATACATTAGTTACCCCTAGCCTGACCTATTTGATTAATCATGTTAGTTAGAATGCGAGCGTCTAACCCAAAACCAATTGGCGGTGGGTGGAGAGGTCCAAGATCTTCTAACACACCCTCTAGAAAATGAAACTTTAATCATGTTTCATTATAATTTATTGGAAATTTTGATGATGTTCAAAAAAAGTTGCATTACGTTCCCAATTTATCCCCTTATAGAAAATCTAATCTACATGCCAATGGATATCAAACATGCATTATCCCCATTTTAATTTTTGGATAGACCGTCTACCAATTCATAAGTAGTTTGTGTTCAGCAGTACTTAAGTAGGTAGTCGGCCTATAATTAACAGATGCATGTGGGAAGTTGTATGTCTGCTGTTGACTGAAAGTTTCCCTTCCTAGTGTCAGTAGTGTGTACTGGTGTAACTGAATGGATCAGCGTTAAAACTACCAAACATTGAACTTTTGGATCCTCATCAGATTGTTGTTGCAGTAGTACTTAAGTAGGTAGTCAACCTATAAATAACAGATGTAAGTGTGCAGTTGCATGTTCGCTTTTGACTTAAAACTTGCCTTCCTAATGTGTAGTGGATTAACGGAATGCATCAATGCCAAAACTTTTGGTACCAAACATTTAAGTTTTGAACCATCATTAGATTGCTCTTACACTTTTCCTTCTGCCAATCATCCAGAGATCATTGTGTCTGGGGGTATGACAATGCCCCAAATCATTTCTCCTCAACAAAGGATTGCCCAGCAGAACGAGAAGATCCCTTTGAACAGAATAAAGTGATTGCATCAAACAAAGGCGTTCCTGGTAATTGTACGACTTCTATTATACGTCTTAGTCTTCTCTGTTTGCAGGAATGTTTGAGATTAGGTTGTTCATAGCGGCAGGCCTTATGAAGAAATATTATGCTCTTGCCAGTTCTATAGTTATACTCACATTTGGAGGTGCATTTGTATCAATGATGTATGTTTGATGTTTACGAAAAACTGGAGACTGAACAACATGATTCCTGTTGTATATAATTTCTCATCGCGAAGCATCCTTGATCTTCAAAGATTTCCTCCATTTCCAGTTGGCAGCGATTGCTGCGTTTTGTTCATGATGATGGTAGCTATTGGTTTTTATTTGTAGTTTGGTAAAATTGGAACTTTCATGTGACCTTCTATGTTTGCACTTGTGGAAAATGAGTTCATTTGTGATCACCACTCTTAACGCATGCGACCTTTCTCATAGGCGGATGAAAAATCCGGCCGTTGGTGGGAGAGGGGTGGGAAGGAGGGAGTAGGATTCTCTCCCATCTTTTTTTCCCTCCCCCGCCTATTTGAATCCCCCGCCTATTTGAATGGTCACGGTTAGGCTACGTCAACATCTTATATTAATTTTTTATAACAAGAGAAAGACAAAATAAGAGAATGTGAGAGGAGAGGATGGAAGGAGATGGTAAGAGGAGGGGAGAGAATCCTAATCCGGGAAGGAGAACAAAGTCAAATGATACTAGGTTGAAAAGTTTATGGGTTACTGTGTGTTTATTAAGAAGGGGTGTGATGCCACTTAGGACTACGGTATGGTGGTACTCCTCTTTGCTTAGAAGTGAGAGGTCTTAGGTTCGAATCTTGTGGATGATGAATTCGATATCAAATTAGGTTGTCCATTGTGTGGTTTAGCCTAACTCTCCTTCCCCTAGGTAAAAATATTGATGTACTAAAAAAAAAAGAAAAAAAAAAAGAAGGGGGTTGTGATATCTACACTTTTTTTTTTACTTCTTATACACCTTTTATTAATTTCTGTCATTTGATATTCTTCAATTCATTCGATTCGACGGTCGTAAACTTAGGATGTGTGAGAAGTAATAAAGGGTGTGTGGATAGCACACCTCTATTAAGAAACTATAAAATAATTATATAAAACAAAAGGTGAAGTGCCGATTTAGTCTATGAATTAACACATGGGGAAATTAGGTCCCTAAATTTATTTTTCAGCAAAATAAGTCTCTAAATTCATTAAAAATTGCTAATTTCATCCGTATTATCATATTCAAAGTTATTTTATCCAAATTTTCGTCGACTTAAGTTAATTGACACACTTTAAAGTGTAATACCATCATTTTCTTGCATATAAGCCCTTAACATTTCATATAGGTTGAGAATCTAATGTCTAATTTACCCTCCAAAGTTAACTACATATATTATTTCTTTATGAAAATTATCGATCTACTCTCCAATGTGTAATACATGCGTGACTTAAATTGACGAAAATTTGAATATAATAGTTTTTAATATAATATTAGGGATGCAATTGACAGATTTTTATAATTCAATTAATGATTTTTCCAAAAAAATAGTTAGGGACTTAAATTCACTTAGACGATGATTCGGGAACTAAATCGGTAGTTCACCCTAAAAAAACCTAAAAAAAATGGCAGAGTTGTTGTTTTTTTTAATTTTTTTAATACAAGCAATATTCTATATTAAAATAAGGGTGTTTTTGTATCAAATCAATAAAAAATTACAATATATCAATAATATTTATGTTAATTATAAATAGGTCAATCATGCATTATGATACTTAAATGCATTTAAAATAAAACAAAAATTACAAAATATCCTATTACAACTGTCACTTATTTCAACTGACAAGTCTGACACACTCTTAGCTGTCATCCACTTCAATTGACAAGTCTGACATACTCTTTCTCATATTTCCATATTTTGGAATAAGTCAATATGAATTTAGACACTGCATTACTGTGTCTGTTTCCTGATTCTATTTTTACATTTTGATTCAGACGTTGCGTTGTAGTGTTCGTTTCCTAATTCCCTTTTTTTCGTCACTCATCGTGCGACTCTTGATTTTTACATTTGGATTCAGACACTGCGATGTAGTGTCCGTTTCTTGGTTCTATTTTTACATTTGGATTCAAACACTGCAATGTAGTGTCCATTTCTTAGTTTTTTTTTTTCTCTTTACATTTTGATTCAGATGTGACAACCCGTCCCTAATTGTACGTTTTTATTAATTTTAAAATGTGAATTTACGAGAATACCCTAATGGCGAGGGTATTGATTTTCGTTGATCGCTAGTTCATGACGCGTATGAACTATTACCTTACTGTACTCTAAAAGTATGTTGGTAAGGATTGTTAATTATTATTTCATTCATTTCATATTATTAGTATTATTATATTTATTATTAAGGGTGGTTGGAAAAGAAAGAGAAAGAAAAGGAAAGGGGGTCTACGGGGAGGAAGAGGAAGGAAAAATCAAAGAGAAAGGGAGAAGGTGCAGCGAATAGGGAAGGGAGAGAGGATTGAATGGCCCAATGAAGAAGAGAAGAAAGAAGGAGAAAAGAGAGAAGGGAGAAACGGGGAATTGCAACCCGCGAACGGGTAACCGGACCCGGTCGGTGTTCTTGCCATTTCTGACGGGTTTTAGCCCATTTTTCCGGCGAATCGCATCAAACCAAACCTTGTAAAACCCTCCATGACCTTCCATCTTCCTATTACACCTAAAAAATCAAGGGTTTTGACTTTAAAATTGGGAGAAACCGCATGGTGGGGTGCGGCAGATTTAGGTTCAATTTACCTAAATCTGAAACTAATCACACCCATCTCTACCACCATTTGACTTAGGGACGGCGGATCATCAAGGAGGAAGAATCGAAGCACATCTACAATTAGGGTTCCGACATATTTTAGCTAAATTAGGGCTTTTCCCGGCCAAATTGGCCTGGTCACATGTATGAAAGTTGTCATACTCATTGAGATCTTCATTTCTGTAATTTTTGAGAATTTTTAGAAATAGTGGAATTTTCCAGCAAACAGTGGCGGCTAGCCACCACCCGCGGACGCAAGTGCAGCGATGGCCTGGCCAGTGGGCCAACGATGTCCTTTTAAATTCAATTAGATGTTCTAATGTCATAATTGATATCCATATGATGTGGTTTAATTGTTTGAACTTAGTTTCATTACGATACATCACTTGACCTTTATATGAATCGATGATTCTTCCGTTCGATTGTCACCAAATTTTGATACATATTAGTACGTAATATTTGAGGACCATAGAAACTTACGGATTGGGAATCCGACGTATGAATCTTCCCGAATTGGATTTATAAGTTCATAAAGTAAATGTTGACCGCCACTTGGTTTTGGCAATTGACGGAGATCCGACCGTTGGATCATAATGAAACATTAGGACGTGGTTCTAAGAACATAATGTGAATCTTTGGAGGTAAAGGATCGGAAATCCGTGATGCAGATCTTCCGGATTGAATTACGTAGGGATGTGTTTTAAATAAATAACGTATTCTATCGGTAAGAACTCTGAGATGTGATTTGATAATTGTTCTAGGCGACGATGGTTCGTGATGTATCGATATTCGTGCTGAGGAGTCATAGCGCGGACCTCAGGTAAGTGGGTCTTTTCCTTTCTATCATATATATATATATATATGATTGACATTTCCACTAACGGTTATAAATTGATTATTGCGTATAATTACTGTGAATGCTTTGAAGTACTATTGTGAACTACGAATGGCTTGATCTCTGTTTAGGATACGTAGGTAGTCTAACGAGACGTTAGATGCAGCCATACAAGAAGTGAGATTAAATAATTGAGACAATAGCCTGGTTTAGGAAATTGAATAATGTGAGGGACATTGGTGGAAAATGTGAGATTTAACCTTATGATTTGGTGGTTAAATGTTGGTCATAAATCAATGTGTGAAGAATCAAGAATTTGAAGTAAGGAAACGTAAGTACTGATAGTTAATTAAACTAGTGTCTAGTTGGGCTTATCACCGATAATTGTTCTCGAAAATAAATAGTTCTGGAGTAGGGCGTTACAGCTTATGCATTTTTATGCCATAATATATGTATGTATATAATTGAAAATGCTATAACATGGTTGAGTATTAGATTGCGTCATGGTTTATCTATATGTATATTACCTGCACATAATTATTGTGAACGCTTTGAAGTGCAAAGGTGAACGCAGGACACCCATGTAAGTTCATGTGAGTTTATGATATTAGTTGAAATGATGGAGTTATGTCATGACTACATGTATGTTTTAGGCAACTACGACTTTTTCGTACAAGTTGCAATGATATGCAACTTCGACACCGTCATATAGGTTGCCCACGAGTCGTATATGTTACAATAGATGTAGTTAGAGCTCATAAACCTACACCCCGGTGTTAGTGCTCCCGCCCGTGGCCAGGGCACAATCATTCACGTGATGTTCACCTCCTGCACCTTACGCTCACCTTGGATCTAAGGTAGGTGCACAGTCATGTCGTACAAACCACCATAGGTGGTTCCGACTTATAGGTGACCCGCGTTTATTCGCACAGTCTTCATGTGATCGTAGCACTTGAGCGTACTTATTTACATCCAGTCTTGTCGCACAGACCACTATAAGTGGTTTCGACTCGTGTGCAATGATATGTGATGAGCTATGAGTTCAGCAGTACAGGCCATAAGAGGTGGATCTGGTTGACATATTACAGAGATATGTGATGAGATATGAATAAGTCGTACAAGTCACTATAGGTGACTCCGACTTGTGTGCTAGCATTGATTGATGAGATATGGATAAGTCGTACAGGTCACTATAGGTGACTCTGACTTATGTGCTAGCATTAGTTGATGAGATATAGGTGCAGTCGTACAGGCCACCATAGATGATTCCAACTTGCATGCTAGTAGGGGTTATTAAGCACATGATTATTTATATTGCTAATGAGATGCTGAGTAATGGTATACTTCTGGATTTACTCTTAGTATATATTTGATTTCATACTTCTACGTGGTATGATTTTCTGGAAACTATACATGTTTTACAGCGAGGGGTTACTACCTTTGATAATTGAAATGATTTTGAAAATCTTTGTTTTGCTCACTCACACTTTCTATTTTGCACCCCTCCGGGTTCTAGTAGCAAAGTTTCGTATCGACGATGACTTATGGCACTCCTAGTTCAGGTGACCCCTTATAAGGGTATAATTATTATCTTATCTCACTGTACTTTTCTTATGCTTTGTATCATGTGTGAAATGGGTTCATACTCGCTCACTGCGCACTTAGGTATATAG